CTATTTTGAATCCTTTAGTATAATCATATAAAGTAAATTTTTTTTTTTATTATTATTATTATTATTATTATTATTATTATTATTATTATTATTATTATTATTATTATTATTATTATTATTATTATTATTATTATTATTATTATTATTATTATTATTATTATTATTATTATTATTATTATTATTATTATTATTATTATTATTATTATTATTATTATTATTATTATTATTATTATTATTATTATTATTATTATTATTATTATTATTATTATTATTATTATTATTATTATTATTATTATTATTATTATTATTATTATTATTATTATTATTATTATTATTATTATTATTATTATTATTATTATTATTATTATTATTATTATTATTATTATTATTATTATTATTATTATTATTATTATTATTATTATTATTATTATTATTATTATTATTATTATTATTATTATTATTATTATTATTATTATTATTATTATTATTATTATTATTATTATTATTATTATTATTATTATTATTATTATTATTATTATTATTATTATTATTATTATTATTATTATTATTATTATTATTATTATTATTATTATTATTATTATTATTATTATTATTATTATTATTATTATTATTATTATTATTATTATTATTATTATTATTATTATTATTATTATTATTATTATTATTATTATTATTATTATTATTATTATTATTATTATTATTATTATTATTATTATTATTATTATTATTATTATTATTATTATTATTATTATTATTATTATTATTATTATTATTATTATTATTATTATTATTATTATTATTATTATTATTATTATTATTATTATTATTATTATTATTATTATTATTATTATTATTATTATTATTATTATTATTATTATTATTATTATTATTATTATTATTATTATTATTATTATTATTATTATTATTATTATTATTATTATTATTATTATTATTATTATTATTATTATTATTATTATTATTATTATTATTATTATTATTATTATTATTATTATTATTATTATTATTATTATTATTATTATTATTATTATTATTATTATTATTATTATTATTATTATTATTATTATTATTATTATTATTATTATTATTATTATTATTATTATTTATGTCTTTATTATTATTATTATTATTATTATTATTATTATTATTATTATTATTATTATTATTATTATTATTATTATTATTATTTGTTAAAACCCGCAGTGGGGCCTACGCGTTAATATAAAAAAAAAACAGTTACATAGTCCTTAGAAAGATCCTCCAGCTCGCTACTGCTCGAAAGAGCTACAAGTGAAAAATAAAACAAAATTCTTTGAGCCGGTGGTTCCTTTTCCTATGATTACAAAAAGAACAAAAATAAACATAAATGCTCGGGCTGTGAGTACACAGCACCCAAAAAAGGAAGATCGGGATAGTGCCATTCAGCATAGTCCTCCTGCAAAACTGAAGATGAAAATAGAAAAAAACATGCAAAAAGTAAAAGGAGAGTACCTTGCAATCATTTAGGCTCCAAAAAAGAGATATCATAAGATACCTGCAAAGAAATCTCCCAAAAAAGTTGTGATAAAGCAGGTAGTAATAAGTAAAAAGACCCCCACTATTCTCATTGTAATAAAAAATCTTAACAGAGTCATAAAACCACCTCAAGAACCCGTGCAGATAACAGGAAAACATCTCATTAAAGTTCAGAAAAACCTTACCAGGTACCTGATTAGCCACCATACCAATTACAACGTGACAGACATCCTGAAACCAGACCCACTTATGCCCAGAAATAGCACAAATAGCAGGGTCAAAAAAATACCTCCCAGAAATGATAGCAAAATGCCCAGACAAATAGAAAACATGCAGAAAACACAGATACATCACACAGGGATAAAAATCACATATAATAAACTGCCAATTAAAAACAAACTACCATGAAATAATAAGATAAGACAACTTCAAACCCCACAGCCAATAATACAGATAACTAAAATAGAAAACCCAGTAGAAAAAATAGTCCATATTACTGCAAAAACCAACCCAGCAATCCTTCCAGAGAATATCAACAGAAAACTGGATCCAGGAAAAATCCACAGCATCAGATGCATCAGAAAGATCAAACCCCAAATACCCAACCTCCATAAAGAATAATGACTTAAACATTCCGAATGTAAGACAAACCAGCTTTATCCAAGTAAACCATACCTTTCAAAATAGGGTTTAACATCCTAATATCCAAATCTTCATAATTCAGTAAAGAGCAGCCTTTTTTAGCTAACCAATCAGCACAAATGTTAGCTTCCCGATAAATATGAGAAATGAAGAAATTAATAGAAGAAAGGCAATGTTTAATTTCACTAATTAAATAAAAATTTTGAGGATTACCAGGAACAACATCATTAATGATCTGAATAAGCAGCATAGCGTCCACCTCAATCCAAACATTGCTGAAACCCCTCTTGATATAAACATTTAAACCGTAGTTTAAAGTCATAAGCTCAGCTGTAATAGCATTGGAATGTTGTACAGGAGCAGCAAAAGCAGCAAGGACAGAACCAGAATGGTCTTGAATAAGACCACCAGCACCCGCAAAAATATTATCCACAGAACCATCCGAATTAAGTTTCACATAAGGATGAATGAGTTTAATCCATTTGACAATTTTTTCTCCAATAGAGACAGCAGTTCCAATATTAGCAGTGATACCAAAAGTACTAATCAAATTTTTGCAATGTTTAAAGTTTTGAGAAGTAATAATATTATAAGAAAAAGCTTGCAACTTTCCTTCAAAAAGAACTTTTTTTGATAACTTGGTAAATACATCTTCAAAAAGAACTTTCCTTTTTTTACCTTTGTACATGGGAGTACCTAAATAAGTAATGGGAGGTTCTTAGACTGAAAGCCACAAACTCTTTGAATGGCATTGATTCTATTTTGGTTAATAGAATCACCCACAATAAAAGTACTATTGTCTTTATTAATAGAAAGACCGCTTTGATGATTAAAACTGATAAGAAAATTGACTTTTTAATATTATTAATAGAACCATTGGAGAACAAATTAAAATCGTCAGCAAAACTAAGATGTGAAATAGGAAATCCTCTAATGGTACGAAAATTAAGCTTGAGCTCGGGTGGATCTAGGAGTGATAAAAGAGACATTTTTAGGTTGTTTACCTTTCTTTATGTTTACCATTTTGAATTCATCCTCTTTAGTTGATTTAGTAACCTCTTTATCGTGATTATCCACATGATAGATAATCTGAGTAGCCTTATTTTGGTCATTGCAAACAGATTGAGGAATAAATTCACCTTCTTCACGTTCTTCCTGAGTAACCATGATATTAGGAACAGTAGTATTCTCCTTAACCCTTATTTCCTTAGAGTTAGAATCCAAACCATGTTCCAATTCAACATTATGTTCCACCTCCTTAAACATAGATTCAATGGAAACAAACAAAGCAAGATCTTCCTCAATTTCCTTGTTAACATCATTGACAATATTGATATTCTCAACATTTAACACTTCAATACTATTTTCTTGACAATCATCAACTAAAGAAATTTCGTTTTCAACATTACCATTAACCGATTTTTGCAAAATATCATCTAAGTTATGAGAAATAGGAGGCGGTTCCACCTTGTTCTCTAGGGTCTCATTTTTTTTCCCAGCCACAGGCACGTAAATCTATTTTTCGGTGGATCCTTGCTTCTCATTTCTCATAACATTAGAATTTTTGAGTTCAGAATGAAGTTTGAAACAGTCGGATTGAGCATGGCCGTGAATCTTACAGTGAGAGCAAAAATCATGAACCTTTTCAAATTCGACTTTTTGTAGATATCCAAAAGCTTTAGAGCCGACCCAAATTTTTTTAGGGTGCTTTTTCGAAATGTCAACCTCGACAAGAACTCTAGCAACCGAAGGTCTCATACGAGACGCGGTAGCCTGATCGGTCTGCAGAGGCCTACCGAAAATCAGACCCAACACATACATAACTTTTGGATTAAAAAAATGAAGACGGAGGTTAGGGAAAGATATCCAGATCGGCACAGTCGGAGACTCCTCCTTAATATCAAAAAAAGGAGTCCATTTCAAAATTCTCATTTGGTAGTTAAAAATAAAATACGATCGTCTAGCAAACACACGACTATAATCAAGATCATTCGAAAGTTGGATAGCCACATGTCTTGAATCGAGTAAACCAACGGAGTAAAAACCAGATAATTTCAAAGTCGAAAAAAATTGGCGGATCGAATCCAAATTTGGACGGCACAAACCAAATTTACCAATAAGCGTGAATTTATAAGGGGAAGCTAGCTTTAAAACCTCATCATCAGATAATAATACCACAGGAACGCCATTGAAAGTGGATTGAGTAAGAGATGCAAGATCATCACCTGCATCCGATTTACCGGATAAGTACCTCTTTGAAGGATCTAGATCTAGAAGGCGATTTGGAACCATCACCGTCCAAAGTAAAGAAACCTTTGTTGTTATGGAGCACAGGCTCGGAAACTTTCCCCCATGAAGTGGATGAGGGAACTTCCGCCATTCAGAAAAAGCCCAGAAAGGGCAAAGCCACAGAAGAAATCACCAGAACACTTCGATCTCATGAACGCCAGAAAGAAAAACGGAACGCGAAGAGGAGGAAAAAACGATCGCGCGGAGAGAACCCTAAATCGCCAGAGCGGCGCTAGGGCAAACACTTTCTTGAGATGATGATTTTTGATAAATATAGATATATATATATATATATATATATATAAGTTTGAGTGAAGTTTCAAAGAATTAATGAAGAGTATTGATTAGCGTTAGCACTATTTACTGGAGTGTGACAACTTGAGCTGCTTGGTCTATGACGAAATCATGAATGTTCAATAATTTGATAATTTATGAGTAACCTGGAACCATTAATTGCATGATGATGTAGCTTTGGCTAGATTGTTAACGCAAACGCACTTGCAACAGTAGGAACGGATGCAAAAAGCCTAAACTTGATTGGTGTTGGAATGGATTGGACCTTTTACAAACCATTATAGTTGTAAAATAAATAACACAACCATTGATGCTATAACGCATAAAACCTTTACGTTGCATGGCAGCGACAAATATATAAACACAAAATTGCTGCTTACGGTTCAAACCAGAACAGAGAAAAATACACTATCAAGAGGTAACTGTATCGAGATAATATCAATCAGCCGGTCTAATAAACTTGTCGAGCCCATCAGACTCTTGCAGCCATGCTTCAAATTTAGCTTCTTTCTCATATTTAAATTTGCTGTAATCTTCCGAGGGGTACAATACTTCACTACTGTCTTGCGAGCCATGAGAACCTGAAGGATTCAATGGCCTTTCATGGATCTCAAGGCTGACTGACACAGGAAGTTCCTCTGCATCTGCGTAAGATTGAGTAGAAGCATCTGATTCTAATGGTGATTGAGATGAAGGTTGCACGGGTTGATCAAATTTTGATGATTGATAGATTGGAGGCCGCCGAAAACCTACAGCTCTTTGTTTAGCTGAACTAAGAACAGCAGACAGGTAGCTATGGCTTCCTTCATCATCTTGGTGGCCGAACTTGTCACTGCAACCAACTGCTACAGCAACATTTGAGTTTCTGCTCTCAGTCTGACGGCCCCAGGTTGGCATTTGAATTAACCTGGTTTCACAATTCTAAAATTAACGTGGTGGGATAAGGAATTGTTTTTGGTTTTAGTACTCATTAAAAAAACATGATTAGAAAATGATAATTTTACTCATTTGAGTGAAATAACATTATTTTTTAGGGATTTAGAAAGTGTTTTTGGAATTGAGAATCAGTATTTACTTCTAACAACATCCATGACCCATCTAAATGGCAGAATCTAAAATACTCATCAGTTTGCAAAACTCCTTTTCTAACTTCAAGCAAACAATTGAACACTTAGGAGGTTGCTGTTCATATCGTTTAACACTATCCAATTCCGAGTTTGTATGACATAAGAATAATGTAATCTGAAAATATTGAATGATCCATAAGAAAAACATTTAGCCATTTACTGAGACATTTCTAGTTAAATAACTATCTCATAGAAATTGTTGTCGCTAATAACACACATTAATCGATAATGATAACCAACTCATACACTGGCACCTATAACAGATAACGGTGCCACCCACAACAACAAAGACCGCCACTACCAATGATCAAAGTACTGCCTACAATAGCTATACTGATTAGATCAATCAAAGTCTAATTTTGCATCAAAACTCATGTGATTCCTCAGACCTTATAACTTATGATGAGTACCCCAACTTGCCAGCACTATCAACTGGAAAATAGATAAAAAAGCAAAAATAAATAGGGAATAAATTCCAGCAGCCATATCGGCTTTGAAAATAAAATTGTAACATATCCTCCTATCTCTTTGTTATGTAGAAAAAAATAATTATTGATATTCAAAATGCTACAAAAGATGTGCTTGGAGTATTAAAAAAAAATCTCCTAATAGTAAAAACAGTTGGGGGTGGAATCAAAATGTTAGAGATAACATAAAAAAATAAAAAGATTTTTATAAAAATTGATTTAGATATAAAAATTCTAATAATTAGAAAAGATATAAAGAGGGTGAATGATTTCAGCTTTTAATTGGCAAAATGTGATGCCAAGATTTAAACTTTTAATGGTTTATATAATAAATTAGATACTAAGGAGGGCGAAAGATATATGTATAAGTTAGCTAAACAAAAAGATATGCCTTAACAATTTTTTATGCACATTTAATGCATGGATATAGAGATATTTTTTTAAATGAGAATACTATCACATTTAATGTCGCAACCTCCCCAACTTACTGCAAAATGATCTGTTCCATTGGAGCCTATAGGCGAGGATTGAAACTTCCGTCCATGTATGATTTGGGGACATGAGTTTCAAAGGATTAGCTGACAAATACTAAGAAAGATATTGAGAAAATCAAGATGCCCTAGAGTAAGAGAGTGATAACTATCATATCTAATAAAAAATAAAACTTCATAAATGTATTAATCAATAGCCCTTACGCCACAGGTTTCTTCAAGTCTATTGAGGCATCTGTTTAAATTAAAAAAAGCTTAGTTTCTTTTAAAACAATTTGATGATGTTAATGATAAGATTGGGGAGCATTTGGTAGTTTAAGTGAAGACAAATAATATTATGCTTATAAGGTTGCAGGTGCAAAACTTAAGAAAAAGAGAAAACAATTATATTTGACTTCCTATGTCGCACAATACATAGACCCGACCTTGAAAAAACTTAGAGAGCTGTCACAACATAAGGATGCATGACTAAATAAAAAAACATAAGTAAATTTATATATAATCATTCTTAAGTTTTGGCACTTGAAATAGTTTTAAAAAAAAATTATTGAGTCCTACAGCAGTAAGATTTGTTATTACCTATTTGATTGTGTAAAGCATAATGAAGGCGAGGAAAAAATTGGAGATCATATACACTTCAATATAGTGGTTGAGTTGTGCTTAGGCAAGAAAACTTGAGTGGAAAGAAGTTATGAAGATTTGTTTAAATGACATATTCTAGCAAAATATTGTTCATGTATTACAACCTCTAGGCCACTAGTACATATTTTCAGGATAGCAGATACTAACAAGAAGTATATGAAGAATTTCATATATAACGCGATGGATGAAACAAAGAAGATGACTGCACATAACTTAGGAGGAGAAGAGGGTTGTTATAGAAAAGTTGGGATACTATTAACCAAAAGTGAGAGCTACAACTTGATTGTCACTTACAATACGCAACTATTTGAATCCTTAATCTCAATATGAAGAAAATAAGTCGATGAATTCTAAAATAAAATTGAGATTACACTATTGCATGGATAGACTTATAATTGACTCATCTAAGAGAGAAAATGTTGATGTTTAATTGGTACCTTTTAAGAAAAATGAGGGCTTATTTTGATTGCACTAGGTAAAAACAAAATTTCAGAATGATCTCTATGTAATTTAATTTGTTTCATTTTATTGGAGAATTTTATATATCAAAATAACTTATTCTAATAACCATACTCATTTACTTTTTTTTTACTATAATCATTTATTTAAATCTTAGTTGAGTGGTTAATAAAATTTAATGATGGCATTTCAGAATTATAGAATTTCACAATTATGGATTTGGAATTAATGTGCTTTTCATCTAGAGCACATAAAATTAAGTGCATGCGAAGAGGAAAAGTCTAACAACCCTAAGGATGAATTCATTAGTGTACAATATGTACAACAAGACACTTACGGACATAAACTTGAAGGAGTTAAAGGATGATAATGACTCTTTTCTTTGTGAGGACATGAGATTAGATGATGAGAAATTTGTAGACGATAAAGTGGAAATAACCCTATCGGAATTACAACATGAAGATTTGAACATTGATTTTTTTAATGGTGATAGAAATAAAGAATATGTATCAACGATAAACTAACTATATAAAGAATTTAAAAGAATATATATACATATATATATAATATTTTTTTAATCATATTTTATTTGAAATATTATTTTCATCTTTACGTTAATAATAAATATTCATGAAAGATGAAGATGATTGAAATAGATAACGAAGAGTTTGGTTGGGAGGCATTGAACACCATAGATGATAAGCCAAGGGAGATAGCAATTCATTACCATGACAACTCAAATGAAGGCCCCCTCAATGATAATAGTGTAGATGACTTCAGAGTAGTTGTCATAGATTACTAGTTATTTAAAAATTAAATTTGGATTTGTAGAGAACTATAAAAGAAGAAACTTGAAATTGAACATGATATCATATGTTACTTTTACACAATCCTTACACCTTCTGTTATTTTGTTAATTTAATATTTAAATTTTAATTCTATATCACGCAAATTATCACTTGTAACTTTCCATCTTGTGCAATTCTTTATTTCATATGTATGTTAATTTATTATTTCATAGTACAATAAGATGTTAATATGTCATCCTTTAATATATTATTATGTTATTATATAAAATAATTATTTTTAACCTTCATTTTCCCTTTTTCTATTCTTTGAATGCTTGATGATCCAGGAGGACTTTTAGATGGACAATTCCTTCATTCCACCTTGAGGACAAGGTGCATTTTTTGGGAGGGAGTATTGATACGCTAGAGAGAGAGAGTGGGGTACAACCAAGAAGGGGGAGCTATTTAGGAAGGTACATAGTTAAGAGAAAGTTGTTTAGGAAAGTTACTAATTAAGAAAAATTATGTAGGAAGGTTCCTAATCCAGGGGGGTGTTGTTTAGAAAAATTTCCTAATTGTGTTTATACTATTTAGAAACTATTTGATTATTTATGAAAGTTTCCTAAAATATGTTTAATAGTTTATGAAGGCTTCCTAAATCATGCTTAAGTGTTTAGGAAGTTTTTCTAAATCATATTTAATTATTTAGGAAACTTTTCTAAATTATGTTTAAATTGATTAGGAAGATTCTATTTATTTAGAAAGGTTTCCTAAATCATGTTTATGCTTATTAGGAACAACCATTAAAAAAGCGGACGAGGCGTCCGCATTGAGTCGCGCCTCAATTCGAGGCGGAAGTCATGCGTACTGGACAGACTCATTTCTGAAGAAGACTACCTCAAAGTGAATGATCAGCTTGAGGATTTTCATTTGAAGAAGAGAATGTTTGGATTTAGAGCAGCACAAGCATGCTACAAAACACGATCTCCTGGTATGTTTATAGTTTTAGTATTTATAATTTTAATGTTAATATTTATATTCAAGTTTTCTACTTCAACCAATATTCATAAAATACTATGTTTGTCTTCATATAGAACGTTGGTGGGCTTAGTTTGGAGATGATGTTCCTGAATTGAAAGCTTTTGTAGTTAAAGTTCTTAGCCTAACGTGTTCGGCTTCTGCATGCGAGCGTAATTGGAGTATCTTCAATCAAATTCATACAAAGAGAAAAAATCGGTTGGCGGCAGATCAAATGAACAAACTAGTTTATGTTATGTTTAACAAAAAATTGAAAGATAGACATCTCAAATTGCAAAATCAGGGAAATATTGAGAATGAAATTGAACCTTTGCTTGTTGATGAGCTACAATCTGATAATGAATGGGTTACTCCTAAGAATGCTGATGTATCTGAAATTGAAGCAGAAGGAGAAAGTCATATAAATGAAGAAGACAATGAAGCAACTATCCAAGTATATAAAAGAATGAAATAAAGTGAGATTGGAGCTTCAAAAAAATTTAAAGGTATATTTATTTTGTATGTTACTATTGTTTCATTTTAGAGCTAATAAAATATTAACTGATATAGGAGATAAAGGAAAAAATATTATAGATGAAGAAGAGTTGGAGGATGACTTTGACATTAATTATGAAGATTCTTCTAAAGACAATCAAAGTGATGATGAGCCTGCTTTGGGTCTTGATCCTAAGGGGATGTTTTATTTTTAAGTAAGTTTATTTTAAATCTTGTATTCCAGTAATATTATCTTAAAAAAAATCTTTAAATTCATAGTTGACATAATATTTTGTTATTTTTTGTCATTTTTTAAAATTTTAAATTAATTTATTTTAATCTTTTTGAGGCTTACGCCTCGATCCGCCTCGAGGCTTACGCCTCGCCTCGCTTAGAAAAAACGTCTCAATTCCCGATTTCG